GGGGTCATCCAGCCGAGCCCTCCTGCTCAAAAGATGGAAGAAGAGGTTGGAAGGGACCTTGAGGGTTGTCTAGTCCGTCCCCCTGCTCAGAAGATGGGATAACTACAGTTGCAAGGAGGTCGAGGTCATCTAGCCGAGCCCCCCCTCAGAAGATGGAATAACTAGAGTTGGGAAGGGACCTCGAGGATCATCCAGTTGAGCCCCCTGCTCAGAAGACGGGGTAACTTGAGTTGAAAGGGACCTTGAGGGTCGTCTCGTCCTCCCCCTTGCCCAGCAGACAGAATAACAAGACTTGCAAGGCATCAAGGAGGTCATCCAGCCGAGCCCCCCCAGCTCAGAAGACAGGGTTTGGAAGAGGCCTTGGAGATTATCTAGTCTGCCCTCCGCTTCGAATAACAGGGTGGGAAGGGATCCCCGAGGTCACCCAGTCCATCCCTTTGCTTAGAAAGACTGAAGAACAGAGTCGGAAGGGGGCCTTGGCAGTCATCTAGTCCAGCCCTGGGACAGATGCTATATATATATATATGTCTTAATACCCTCCGCAATAAATCTGGTGGCTGGAGCTGCCGGTTGAGATCATGGGGGTGTCTTTGTGCAGGTGGTCCCAATGAGCTGAGCACAACCACCTCAAAGAGCATCTGATGGGCTGCAGAAAAACCAATGAAATATATCCCTCTTGCTGCAGCGGGTTGTTTGCAACAGCTGTTGCATCGACAAGGCAACGCGGGGCACGGGAGGCATCCAGACTGACCCCTTCCCCGTTTCCCAGGTTGCACGTGAGAATCTGGCCCGGCTGAACTGGCCCACACGCTTAACTGGAGCAGTGGGAAATCCTCAATTGTAAATGTGACTCGTGACGCAGCCTCTTGCGTGTCGCGGGAGCATGCAGTAGCACCCTGGAGTAGTTCAAACCTATTTTGTTCTCAAAGGTGGTGCAGAGTAAGCAGAGGAAACCTGAGGATTTGTTGGCTGCGACAACACACACACACACACACACACACACACACACAAAAAACCCCTCACGTTCTTAACACACTAAATATTTGCTTTGCCTTTCCTGCTCCAGGTTGCTACAAAATCACCACGGTTTTCAGTCACGCCCAGACGGTTGTGTTGTGCGTCGGCTGCTCGACCGTGTTGTGCCAGCCCACTGGTGGAAAGGCAAGGTTGACAGAAGGTAAGCGGGAATTCCCCCCCCCACACACCCACACCCACACCCTGGTGTGTCTCTTTGGTGTCAGAAGTAACTGAGGAAAAACATGGAATTGTAGCCAGGCAGCAGGTTGAGAGTTTTAGGGGTGTCGTCTTTCAGTCTTTAGGGGATTTTGGGGGGGGGGGGCTGGCATTGTGTGTTTCAACAACATTAAATGCAGAGCAATGTTTGAAAGCCGCTTCCTCTGACTCAGCAGGCTGATTTTGTATAGATGAGGTCATAAGAGATGGATTCAAATGTTTTCTCCCCAGAAAAACAAAAACAAAAAGCAAACATGGCAATTATGGTTATAAATGCGGACCGTAATGGCTCACTTTTGCATTTTTTGTTTGTTTGCTTGTTCTCCTTGCAGGATGCTCTTTCCGGCGAAAGCAACATTAAACAGTGGACATTTGGCACGGGATGGGAACATGGGAACAGTTGACGGCCGCAACCCTCAAGTTTCTCTGGGGCACCAACGTCGGAGTATATTATGCAATGGAGTTGGGGGGGACGTGTAGAGTTATTTTTGAGGGCTTGAGTTGCTACCAGCGGTGGCTATGGGACAAGGGTGGAGGAAAACCCCCGCCCTTCCCCTTGCGGCTCTGGCGCTGTCCTTGTAGCCTTACCCATTTCATTCAATAAAAGTTTGGATATAAAGAGAATTTTTGGTTTCATTGTTTTTGTTGTGGGTTGAGTTGTTTGTTGTCTCCACCCGCCCCCTATTTCTCTCGGCGGGATTCAATTTGGCCCTTTTGGGAATCTGGTTTAAAAGGGAGGTTTTCACAGCTGGGGGGGTTACTGGTTCTGTACCGCGGGGGCGAGCGGCGTGGCCTTCCCCTGTTAAGGACGACACTGGTCACGTTCAAAACGAAAAAGTTCACGGGTTTTACTCTTGCCCGCCGCCTTCTTCTCGAAAGTCATCTTCGCACGCTCCACAGCCAGGCCTGGGTCCTGTTCCTGAGGCTGGAAGGCTGGTGCTGAGCACTCGGAGGAGGGTACAGGTAGCCTGGATAGAGAAAGGGGGAGAGGGGCTTGAGAAATGACCCCTCACCCCACCCCCCAAAAAATACCCTCACCCCCTATTTCTCCTCTTCTGCCAAAAGGGAACCGGGTGAGCCAAACTTGGCAAGCTTTTTAAGACTGGTGGACTTCAACTCCCAGAATATGCTGGCTGAGGAATTCTGGAAGTCCACCGGACTTAAAAGTTGCCAAGTTTGGGGACCCCTGGACTAAGCACCTGAATTGGACCCCTGGCTTCCCGTGGAAAAGTGTTTTAGGAAAGCTGAAAGGGGTGAATTTTCAGGACTCGAGGATCCTGCCGCTTGCTGGCTTTTCAAAACACACACACACACACACACACACCCCACGAGGAAAATTGGGACTGCACTCTGGACCAGGCTGGTTGTGGAAACTCACCGTCCTGCGTTGAGGCCGACGGGATGTAGACCACTGGGACGGTCTGGACTCTGTTGAGGAAGGCATTGTAAACTGTGGGGAGAGGAGAAAGCGGGTTGGATCCAGGCTTGAACCGGCTTGGGGGGTGGGGAATATAGGTAGTCCTTGACTTACAATGGCTTGTTTAGTGACCGTTGGAAGTTGAAAAAAAGGGGGGGACCTGTTTTTTACACAACCCGTTGAGACCTCTCCGGAGGGTCGTGTTGTGAGCAAAATTCGGGCCATTTGGCAACCGACTCGTATGTATGATGGTTGAAGTGTCCCCTTTTGCGACCACCTGACAAAGTCAATCGGGGGAAAGGCGGATTTCGCTTCACAACCGCGTGACTGACTGAAACAACTGCAGGGATTCACTTAGCAAACATGTCAAGAAAGGCCGCCAAATGAGGCAAAGCTACTCTTGACAAAAACGTCTCACGTAGCGACATACGTCTTGGGCTCGATTTGTTGTTGGGAGTTCCCTGCGATGGAACACCAACCCTGGAGGTTTTTACAAAGTTCGTCTGAAACGCCCTAGGGGCCTCCTGCTTCAGCAGTGGGTTGGACTAGAAGACCTCTCAGGTCCCTTCCGGCTCTGCAACTCTACAAAACTTGGGGTAGAGACTTTGAACCTAGCGCCCCATCCAGCGGCTTAAGGGGAGCCTGAGCCCGGCTCAAACCTGCTGGGACTCACTGAGGAAGATGACCATGGTGGACGCCAGGACGGCGAAGACGGTGAAGAGGAGGACCTGGTAGGAGCCCACCAGCTGCCGGACGAGGCTGGCCTCCGCGCAGAGATCTAGGCGTGTGAAGGCAAAGATGGTTGGGGGGCCTTCTCGGCGCCCCCCACCCAAAGAACCACGCCAGCTCTCTGCCAAGCGTCCTTTTCCCTTCGCGCTCACCAAAGCCGAGAGGTTGCTCCTGCTCCGGCCGCACCAGGACAGCCGCCCGCTGGCCGGTGAGGCTGCAGGAGAGGTTGACGAAGACCGGTGCTGCCCTCCGGTGGAGGGAGGTGAGGTTGACCACGCGGACGGCGAAGAGGACAAGCCCGGGCATGTCCGGGAGGAAGAGGGGGGCGTCCACTTGTACCACAGGAGACGTGGGATGGGCCTTGGCAGGGCGGGAGGGGAGGGGGGAAAAAAAACAGATCTTAAGGAAGGGGTTTTTTGGGGGGTGGGGCAGGGGGTGTGAGAAAGTTCCAGAAAATAAACCACCTTTAAAAGAGGAGAAGCCCATCAAAACTGGGCCCTTGAACCTTCAGGTCTGTGGACCTCAGAAGGTGACAAATTTAGCTCTCAACCTGGTCCACTTTTTAAGATGTAGGAAGTTAGCACCCGCCCCTCTCCTAAAAAAATGAAATATCCTAGGAAATATTTAAAAAGGCAGAAATATTTCCCCTAAAGAGAGAAGTTAGAAACTCAGCCCTCCTCCACCTTTGCTAATGGACCCTTACTCTGGCCTGGGGCAGCCTATTCTACATAACAAAGATTGACTCCAGGTAGAGCTATAATACGAATCCGCACAAAAAAGCCCTTTTCATGACATCATCCTCCAGCAAAGGCTCAAAACCAAGATCCTGTCCACCATTAAACCATCTTTCCAAACAGCCTCCCGTGTTTTCCAGCGTCTTTCTTCCCCACTTGGAACCGAACCCAGAAAGATCATTCTTCCAACGCTTGGAAGATTCCGGCATCTCACTTTGCGTAGGGTCACCCTGTCGCACCTGCAGACTCACACCTGTCTCCTGTCCTCCAGGTCTAGCTGGCTCCTGGAGGTGCAGATCCACCTGGGAACCCCCTGGCTCTTCCGCTGAGACCCCTCCCCATCTTCAGGAGGGGCATTTAAATTTATTTTGTGTGTGTGCGCGCGTCACTTGTCAACTTTTACCTCGATGGCTTCCGTCACCCTCCTGGCCCCCAACACCAAGATTTCACTGGTCATCTGTGAGCTGCTCAGGACAATCTCGCTCTGGTTGAGGAAGAAGGCGGGCCAAAACGGAACCGTGACCCGGTTTGGGGTTTCTGGGCTTCGCTCGCTGCCGAGAGCGGCGGAGACGTCCACGAAGCCCTCGGCTGTGCTGAGCGCCAGCAGGTCCTCCTCGGGGTGGGCTTTCACCGTCACCAGGCAAGCGTAGAGCCCTGGAGGGGGGGGCAGCCGGAAAAGGAAAGAGATGCTTTTCAAACACGCCGTTCGGAAAGGCCTGGATTCCAGGCATGGCCGGAAAGAGACCCCGGAATGGCGTTTCAGGGGGTCAGACTCCTCGGAATCGGGAAGCTGGGCGGCTGGCGGGCTGAAGTCCACAAGTCTTAAAAGTTTGCCAAGTTTGGGGACCCCTGCTCTACATCCTCAAAAGCTCCCGCCATCCCTGGTCCCTGGAGTTGAAGTCACACACCCACACACCACCTGGGAAGCAACGATGCAACTGGTTCTCTTCCGGCCTACCTTTATCTGGGTAAAATGCCGGCTGGATGTGGAATATTTTGCTGGCTGGAATATCCAGGATGCCAGGGTTGAAATCCAGCTGGCAGATCAGCTGCGATTCTGGAGAAAGCAGGTCGGTGATGGCCTCAATTTGCTCAGAGCCACAAGGACCTAAAAGAAGACAAGAGGATGTGTGTGAATTTAGGGCTATCTATCCTTCCTATCTATCTATCTATCTATCTATCTATCTATCTATCTATCTATCTATCTATCTATCTATCTATCTATCATCTATTTATCTATCTATCTATCTGATCTCTATCTATCTATCTATCTATCTATCTATCTATCATCTATCTATTTATCTATCTATATTTATCATCGATCATCTATATTTATCATCTATCTATTTATCTATCTATTTATCATCTATATTTATCATCTATTATCTATCTATCTATCTATCTATCAATCATCTATTTATCATCTATCTATTATCTATTTATCTATCTGATCTGTCTATCTATATCTATATCTATATCTATATCTATATCTATCTATCTATCTATCTATCTATCTATCTATCTATCTATCTATCATCTAAATCCAGACACAAAATGAACCCCCCGATTTCTTCATATTTCGCTTCTGTCTTTCCCACCTTGAAGAGTGGCCGGGCCGCTTGTGGAGATGAAAACCCGGAATTCGGAGGCGTTGGCGGCATTGGTGAGGAAGTTTTTGGGCCCAAGTTGAAGGCGGAGTCTCGGCGGGCCGTGAACGACAACCTGGGGAAGGACAGATGAGAGAAGAAGACGGTGAAGAAATGTTTTTTTTTTTTAAAAGAATACAACGAACTTGTCTCCAGAAGCTTGTTTCTGAACTCAGAAATACAATTATATCCTATTAAAATGAGAAGAATTAAAAAAAAAACAAAATTTAAGGAGGAAATTTTCAGACGGTGAGAGCAATCGTCCCAGTTGCCTTCAGAAGTTTTGTGAGCTTCATCCCTGGAAGCTTTCGAGAAGAAGACGGGACTGCCGCCCGTCAGAAATGAGGTAAGGTCTCCTGCTTGGGCTGGGGTTGGACTAGATGAACTCCAAGGCCCCTTCCAACTCTGTTAAATCGGCCTCTATAAAATGAGGTCTTAATTCATATACGCTGCAAACACACACGACGCTTCTACCTCTCGGTACGTTTTCACTATCCCCGGGATTTCGTGGAAGACGGTGGCTTTTCCCGGGTGTTTTGCGAAGGTCGCTCCGCTCACAACGTCCATCTCCAGCACGTCGCCAGGGCTGACCTGCCAAGTGCCAGGTTCTCCTAAAAAGAAAACGTCCTTTTCTCTTTTTATAAATTTTATCAATTTTCTATTCATTTACATTTCTTAGTGCTTAATAAACACGGCCCCGTAATCCCTTGGGGTGGTGGAATCAGGTGCTGAGTGTTTTACTGGCCGGAGGCCTTTCCTGTTTCCAGTACGGAGTTACATTCAAGCAGATAACGTTCTCGTCGTGCCCGGAGAGAGAAAGGCCTGCCTCTGTCTGGAGCCGAACTCACAGCTCCTGACTGTGAGGCGAGAACTCCGCCTTTAGGCTACCGCACCACTCAAGGACTGCCTCTGTAATGCAACTGGGAGTAAGGAGGAAGGGGTTCTTCTTGGAGAGTGAGAGGGGGGGATTGCCTCATCCTTGCTGACGTCCTCTTCGTTCCCCTCTAAGAGAAGATTCAGTCAGGATTACGGCAGTTACTCCGGTTAAATCATGAGCCTCGACCCGCGCTCCCAAAACTAAAGAGGATTTATTTGAAGCTACCATTCTACGTCCGGCACTATCCTGGGTGTAGCCAACTCTGAGATATGTAATTCACTGTCTGTCACCCTTGATCCTGCTTTTCCCCCCACCCACCCCTCTGGGTGTATCATCCAACGAAACACATCCATAGCCAAAGAGTCATCAATCATGCTCTCCAATTATGGCAGAAGCTTCAGTCATCTAATCAGTCTTTGAAGAAAATATGAATAGAATGGACTTTCGATTCCACGCTGCCGCCTGCTCTTTGAAACTTCCCCCGCTTCTTTCTGTTGTCAACTATAAAACGTGTACACAAAATGTTTTATGAGTTGACAGACACAACCCCCCACCCCCCCAGGGGAGACCCCAAAGCTGTTCCACTGACCTTCCTGGTTAACTAGGGGTGTGCTGAAGCAGACCACGTCTCCCACGGCCAGCGGGGCGGAGAGATTGGGCCCGATGGCGTGTTCCACGGGGACAGAAATGTAGTCGGCCATGCCCGGGTGTCTCTCGTCCCAAACACCCACCAGGGTCACGCCTTGGTTCACAGCTTGGGCGGTGTAGGTGTAATTCTGGTTGCTGGGCCGGATCAGCAAGAGGTCGTCCCTACAAACGAAGGAGGGGGAGAGAGAGCCATCCGCCACGCTGCCACGTGAGCCTGGGAGAGTGGAAGCGGGGGGATGATTTCAACGAAGTCGCTCTAAGCAGACAAAATAAAATCCTTTTGTGAGTTCGAGGCCATTGAGCGTGGCGCGCGGATGAAATAAGGATCTTACTTTTGGGATGGAATGGCATTGGGTCATGTGATGTGATGGCGGCCAAAGCCGGATGGATTTGTAGTTTGAGAGGTTGTGGAAAGCCGAAAAAAAACTTTTAAAATTTGGGTTTTCACAGAGGTGCCGGTTTACTATCCTAATAAAGGTAACTTTCGAGAGACATCGGTCTTGGAGTTACTGAGGGAGGTTTGCTGCATCCCAATGTTCCCTGGGGAGTTTTATACCTGTTCAAGGCCAGGTGCAGCTGGTTGTTCTGGGCGTGGAACCGGACCCCGGCGCTGTCGAAGAACCGGACGGTCAGCGTCAAAGCCATGCCCAAGGGAAACGCCGGCAGAGGTGCCCGGGTGGCAGTGTAGAGTTTTAGGGTGCTGCTGATCTCCAGGTAAGAGACTGGGGCCACCTGGGTAGAAAACAGGGGGCAGGAGGGCTCCTCTCAACTCCCTGTGGGACGAGGCAGGGCTCTTCCGTAGACCTCCCACCCCACCCCGCTTACCCGCACGCCTGTGATGACCGTCTGGTTGGCGCCAAAGAGCTCCAGGGAGGTCACCTCCAGGACCGCTGTCCCCGTGACGGCCCCGGCTTTCAAGAGGCCATGCCCGTCCTCTTCGATGACCGAGGAATTCGGGAAGCACTGCAGGATCTGGGTGCTGACAAAGGCGGCCCCGTCCCTAAAGAGAGGAAGCGGGGAAGAGGACAAAGCGCCCCTTTGGGTAAGGAAAGGTGTCCACGTAAAATATTTCTAGGGTCTTTTATAGGGTCGCCAACAGAAAGTGAGGGGGGAAGGGGTTTGAAAGAGCAGCGATCAGAACTGAAGAAGGTTCTTGGATGGAGAAGCGAAACGTCTTCAGAAGTAAAAGCAGAAAAGTCCAATGGCCTCTTTGGGGGAAAGAAACAACAACCACAAAATCACCTTTGGGAGACAACCGGGACCTGAGAATCTCCACTGACAGATCTTTGAAGGCCGAGTTTTTGTCCCTAGGGCACCTGGTTTCGCATCACCTCCGCGGAGAGGTATGAGCCCCGCCTGAGGACCATCCCTGGGTACCTGTTTGTAAGTAACTTGAGCTGCGAATTCATGGACATCAGGATCTGCTCCACGGGGCACTCCGGAGAGAAGAGCTGAAGTTTGTCGAACACCTGTAAGGTAGGTGGGTGAGTGAGAAGATAGCGGTGGTGGGATTCAATTTTTTTTTTTTTTGCTACCAGTTCTGTGGGCTTGGTGGGGCGTGGCGTGGCTTGGTGGGGCGTGGCGCGGCTTGGTGGGGTGTGGCCTTGGTGGGCATAGCAGGGGAAGGATACTGAACAATCCCCGTTCCCTCCCCACCCCGCTAACCTCCGTTCTCCTACGCAGGGCAACCAGACAAGACCCCAGCCGATCTGCTGCGGGCGTGGCTCGGTGGGCGTGGTGTGGTGGGGGAGGCTTGATGGCTTGGTGGGCGTGGCAGGGGGGGAGGGTATACCGCTAAATCCCCCCTTCCCTCCCCAGCCCACTAAACCTGCTTTCCAGCTCCGTTCTCCTGGGCTGGGCGACCCAAGGAGACCCAGCCGATCCGCTGGGACTCCCTGGGAGGCACAGAAGAGATGGGGGTTGGCGGGGCCAGTCAGAGGCGGGATTGGCCGGCTCTCCGAACTAGATGGCATCAGGATTCTTGCCAAGGGAAGAGGGTTGGACTAGATGACTTCCAAGGTCCCTTCTAGGATTCCTTGGGAACAGCCACGGACGGACCAAGCGGAAGCGAGGGAAGCGCCCGTCGGTTGTTCTCAGGATTCCTTACCAGGATCTGCACCTCGTCCGAGAGTTCGGTGACGTTTCCTTCGAACTGTCCGGCTTCAGCGTCCGAAGTCCGCACCGCCACCCTGAGGCTGGTCCTGCCCGCGGCACTGGTCCGGACCGCCATGGCGAAGTTGCTCTCCGGAGGAAGGGCCAGCGAAATCTGGTGGGGGAAAAGTCCCTTGATGGTGAGGTGAGGTGGGCGGTATATTGAAGGTGGTCCTCGACTTACGAACGCCATCCCGGTCGCTAAGCGAGGCACTTCTCAAGCGCGTACAGGCCCCGCTTTAAAAACAGCAGCTAAAGGAATCACCGCAGGGGGTTAGTCACGCGGTCGTTAAGTGAATCTGGCCTCCCCATTTTATTTGCAAAGCCAGAAAGTCGCCAAAGGGGACACTGTTATTTTCAATTTATATCTTATCTTAATTCCTTTTTCTCTAAATGTTCTCAAATCTTATTCTGCAGTCTAACATTCCTATTTTTTTAAATTCTAAATCCATGATACCTTTATACTTTTATCTGTCACATTTGCAATTTTTGTCACATGGCTTTATTTCCTTATTCAACAAATTCCATCTTAAATCTAATAATTCCCTCAAATTTCCCCCTTTAAGTATCAATTAGAGCGTACCACCCTTTTTAGCTTATACATCCCTCAATTTATTCCCCTCAATTTATCCATAATCAAAACATCGTAATCACTAAATAAATATCAGATTCTAGTTTAATAATAATAATAATTTCCTAACTACCATATGATGAGTGATAATGTTAAGTCAGGGACGGGTAGCGTCCCTGCACGCGGGATAAATATATTTAAATATAAATAAATATATTTATATGGATAGTCTGAGTCTCAGAATTCCTCAGCTAGTTGAAGTTCACCGCCCCGGTTGAGAAACACTGCAGGGGAGCCCTTTTTTGGGGGGGGGGGGGGAGGGGGTTTGGAAGGGGGGGGGGGGGGGGGGGTCTTTCACACCTCCGAGTGCCTGGGGAGAAGGTCCAAGATGTCTCGCTTGCTCACTGCCCAGTGGAAGGTGAGGGGTGGGCGAGAGTTGCCGAAGGAGAAGGGAGTCAGGCTGCTGGTCAGGCCCACAACGTAGACGGGCATCTGGAAAGAAGAGAGAACGGGGCAACCGAGTTGGGAGGGACCTTGGAGGTCTTCTAGTCCAACCCCCATCCCACCCCCTACTGAAGCAGGAGACACGATGCCATTCCAAACAGGTGGCTGGAAGGAAAGGAAAGGAAAGGAAAGGAAAGGAAAGGAAAGGAAAGGAAAGGAAGGAAGGAAGGAAGGAAGGAAGGAAGGAAGGAAGGAAGGAAGGAAAG